CTACTAATGCAGCCCAATATGCAGCTAGCCGTCTTGGCAACAAGGGCACACTGCTGACTCATATCCAGCCTCTCATCCACTGTAATCCTGTAATAATGTTTCCTACCTTGTATTCCTGCACAGCCTGCTCAATGGACACCAGCGTGTGAGATCTGTGCTCCTGGGTGTTATCACAAACCAGACAGATCACCTCACCGTCATCTTCACAGAACAGCTTGAGTTTGTCCTCATGCTCCCTGCAGATTATCTGCTTTTTTGGGTCTTCAGGTTTTATCCCTAATTGCTGGATATTTTCCACCATTCTGGCAAGCTGCCTGTTGGTCTGGAAATTCTCGTTCTTGATATTTTTTCTGCATTGTGGACAGAAAACTTCCTCTGTTTCCATTTCCATTTTTTCATAGTGCTCTGTGATACAAACTCGGCAGAAGTTGTGTCCACAGTCTATGCTTACTGGATCCTTGAAGTAACTCCGACACGTGGGACAAACCACTTCTTCCAGTAGCTTCCTCAAAGGATGGGCAGAGGCCATGGCTGTGGGAATGTAAGTGTTTCAGTGATCAGTTTCATTTAATGAGTAATACTCTAACTGCAAATTAGATGACATTTTAACAGTGAGGGTAGCAAACCATTGGAACCATTGCCAAGGGAAATGGCAGCACTTGTTATCAAGTCTTTAGACTGTCATTAGATGCCTTTCTAAAAGATTTGCTGTACATTGAATATAAGAATGGCCATACTAGATCAGACCACTGGTTCATCTAGCCCAGTATACTGTCCTCTGACAGTGGTCAATGCCAGGTGCTCCAGAGGGAATGAACAGAGCAGGTAATCATCAGGTGATCCATCCCCTGTTGCCCATGCCCAGCTTCTGACAAACAGGGGCTAGAGACACCATCCCTGCCTATCCTGGCTAATAGCCATTGATGGACCTATCCTCCATGAATTTATCTAGTTCTTTTTTGAATCCTGTTATAGTCTTGGCCTTCACAACATCTTCTGGCAAGGAGTTCCACAGGTTGACTGTGCATTGAGTGAAGAAATACTTCCTTTTGTTTGTTTTAAACTTGTTGCCTATTATTTTCATTGGGTGACCCCTAGTTCTTGTGTTATGTGAAGGAGAAAATGACATTTCCTTATTCATTTTCTCCACACCAGTCAAGATTTTATAGACCTCTATCACATCCCCTCTTATTTGACTCTTTTCCAAGAGGAAAAGTCTCAATCTTTTTAAATGTCTCCTCACATGGAAGCGGTTCCATACCCCCTAATCCAATATATTTTTTCTGAGGTGAGGCCACCAGATCTGCACACATTATTGAAGATGTGGCGTACCATGGATTTGTAGAGAGGCAATACGATATTTTCTGTCTTGTTATCTAGCCCTTTCCTAATGGTTCCTAATATTCTGTTCGCTATTTTGACTGCCGCTGCCCATTGAGCGGATGTTTTCAGAGAACTGTCCACAATGACTCCAATATCTCTGTCTTGAGTGATAAAAGCTAATTTAGACCCCATCATTTTGTATGTATAGTTAGGATTATGTTTTCTAATGTGCATTACTTTGTATTTATCAACACTGAATAAATAAACACTGATAGATGTGAAGGCCAGAAGAGACCAGATCATCTAGTCTGACCTCTCCATAGCATGGGCCAGAAAATTTTGCCTAGTAATTCCTGCATCAAGCCCATAATTTGTGGTAGAAGTAGAGCACATCTTTTAGAAAATGACATCCGATCTTGATTTAAACATCCCAAGTGATTGAGAATCCATTATGCCTCTGGGCCAATTGTTCCAATGGTTAATTACCCACATTGTTAAAAAACTGCACCTTATGTGGGACATTTTGTCTTCATTTTCATTGATTTGGTTTGCTCTGCCCAGGGCCGGCTCCAGGCACCAGCTTGGCAAGCAGGTGCTTGAGGTGGCCACTCCAGAGAGGGGCGGCAGGTCCAGCTATTCGGCGGCAATTTGGCAGACGGTCCCTCACTCCTGCTCGGAGCGAAGGACCTTCCACCAAATTGCCGCCGCAGATCGCGATCGTGGCTTTTTTTTCTTTTTTGGCTGCTTGGGGCGGCCAAAACCCTGGAGCCGGCCCTGGCTCTGCCTCACTCCTTCCCTTTGTTTTTCTCTATTTTTTGCTCTGATTTGAGGATCCAGTGAGTTAGGCTTGGTCTGCACCACCAACATATGTCGGTATAACTACATAGCTCATGGCTGTGGAAAATCCAAACCCCTGAGTGATGTAGTTATACCAACCTAACCCCCGCTGGAGACAGTGCTATGTCCATGGGAGGGCTTCTCCCATCAACATAGCCTCTAAGGGGCTGGCCACCTCTGCTCTGTGTCCTCTGTAACAGAATCATATCCTTACTTATGACATTTGCTGCTGGTGAGAACTCTATAATGTTTAGAACAGGACACAAAAATTTAGTTATGGAAAAAAGTGCCCCACTGTATCTGTAGTTAAATTTCATTTCAGAATAATTCAGTAGGATGTAATTCTCCTCTTCCCAGATGACCAGCACAAGGCCTAGGCATTTGCGTCCCATTTAGAGACTCAAAATGGGATGTAAGCAGGATTTCAATGGGATCTAGGTCTCATGGTGGCCTTCCAAATGGATGTACATTTCCCACAGAGCTCCTCCAGTCTACTTAGGGTTTATCTAGTTCATCACAGAAAATGTGGACATGTGCCTGTTGGTTATATAGCTCCCTATTTAGAACCAATGCTAAAAACAGCATAGCTAATTATTATTATTATGCACAGACAGTTTCTCTCAGTGTCAGAGATGGTTGAATGGATGTGCCAGACATTTTTTTTAAAAAAAGCATTAAAATCAATTTTAGATTTTAAGAAATCAAACTTTTAAAACCATGGAAATTAAAAGTTAAGATTCAGCTTTAACTAAAACCACCCTGAAGTTAAACTATTACAAACCACCATTACAAAACAAACATGGGGGCACCCAAACAAATGTAACTTGATCACAGCAGTATTGAAAATGTTGCCCACATCTCTTTAGGATTAAACACATGTCTCTGGTACTAAGCAGAATACTCTGACAGGAGACTGAACTCTTTTGGTGTTAGTGCCATAATCTGTTTTGGTATCGATCTGGCCCTCACTATCATAGTGTCTGGGCTCCTCCCAACCTTTAGTGTTTTTATCCTCTGGGAGGTAGAGCCCGATTACTATCCCCATTGTACAGATGGGGACAAGAGTCACAGAGGGACAAGTTTTCTAAAGGGATTGAGGCACCCAAAGATTCAGATAGGTGCCTAGTAGGATTTTCAAAAGCAATTAGGTTCCTAACTACTATTGAAATCAATGGGAGTTTGCCATGTGGGCATGTCCCAAAATCCCAGTAGGCACTAATCTGCATCTTTAGGCACCTACACAGCTTTAATAATCTGTCCCTAAATGTCTCACCCAAGATCCCACAGCACATCTGTGGCACAGCAGGCTAGTGCTGTAACCAGTGGACCATCCTGCCTCTCTAATCTCATTATTTTAGCCTGAGCATTTGCACATGATGCTATGTGACCAACCCCTACCTGTGCAATCTGAACACAAACCTGGAGAGCCACCACCACCTCTACCATTTGAGCTAACGCCCCAACTCCAGGAGATGCTCACATGTGTACATGTGTTCTTGAGACTGGCTGTGCATCCTGAAAGAGCCACACACAGACTGTGGGGCAGGGAGTGGGGAATGGGGTGGCTGGAATGTCCTTAAGTGTTCAAAAAGCAGGTGGCACAACTGTTTTTGTTCATAATCTTGTGACATTTTTTATCCAGTCTTGTCATGTAGTTGGACTTGACTGATGAGTTGTGAGCACTTGTGGTAGGCACTGCTGAATATGAGATTATTGTTCATTTACCTCTGAGTTCCTGCTGTTGAGTAGAACTGGTTTCCTGTTCTTGAACATTCACATTTTCACTCCTAAACAGAAGACATTCTCTGTCATCTTTCAGCTCAGCAATTCTGCAGTGCATCAAACAGGAATGAAAGGGGAAATAACAAAGGCAAATGCATGTACAGTACCTGCTTGATGTGCTTGCCTCCCCCTGAAAGGAGAAATGGGGAAACTATCAATAATTTAATAAAACCAAGTGAAAAAATATCCAAGGACCATACCCCATGGGTGTGCTACACACTTTGAGGCACAAAACCCCTCTTCCTATCAGGACAATCCCATTTCAGAAGGGTAAATTTCCAACCATCCCTGCTTTCCTAGGTACTTATTAATTTCATTCATCTGAGCAAATAATGTAACTAACTTATTCTTGCTGCTGTGGCTACAGTTTGCTAAACACACTGCGTGCACCTTTGTCAACCACAAAGTGTTATGCCTCTATATGGACCAGCATTAGCCAGAATAAGTGATAGAGTCATGGCTAATAAGGCCATAAGAGACCATTCTGATCATCTGGTCTGACCTCCTTTTTTGAGTATGAGTCAGAGAATCTTCCCCAGTGATTCCTGCATCATCAGCTTGTGGCTGAGCTAAAGCAAATCTCCGAGAGACGTCCGGCAATGATTTAAAGACTCCAAGTGATGGGGAACCCACCACAACCCTTCGTAAGTTGTTCCAATGGTAAATCCCTCTCATGGTAAAATATGTGACCCTTATTTCTAGCCTAAATCTTGTCTAGCTTTAACTTCCAGCCATTAGATCTCACTCTGCCTTTATATGCTGGATTAAAGAGCCCTCTCCCAGACCTGCTTTCACTCTGCAGGGCTAATAAAGGGGAGCAAACTCCCCACATGACCTCTCCCCCCTTTCTCTCTGCCCATGACATCCACAAGGCCTGAAGGACAAGGAAAGGATCATTGGACTGGGAGAGGGGTCTTGGCTGAAAGGCATCTAGCCAGTAAGCCTGCATAATCATATGGTGAGAGATGTTTTGTTTTGAATTCATTTAGTTTGTTAAATTAGATATGAGTTGCAGGGCTAATAGGATTAAAAGGGAGAAAAAATATCTCTTAGTAAGTAAAACAAGGAGCTCTGACTCTGCTATGGGCATGGGGATGTAGTTTAGTGAAGAATTTATTTGACAAATAAGGGACGTCCATGGAGCTCAGACAATTCCATATAGCAAAAGGGGACAGAGACTATATTGAAGGGGGGATGCTCTCAGAGCAAGAGGGACCATCAACCACCATATATCAGAGGGACCATCAACCACCATATGTCAGAAGACAAGGCTGGAGAGAGAGAATGCAGGAGGGTCTCTGCCTTGCCTGAGATGCTGACCAGACCTCAGAGTCATATGTCTACACTAGAAGTGTTACAGCCGTGCAGCTCTGCTGATACAGCTGCGCTGCTCTGTGCTGATGGGAGAGATTTCTCCTGTAGGCATAAAAAACCCACCCTCATGAGCAGCAGAAGCTATGTTGGTGGGAGAAGCTCTCCCACTGACATAGCGCTGTCCACACTGGCGCTTGTGTTGGCGTAACTTATGTTGCTCAGGGGGGTGGAATATTCACACCCCTGAGCAACATAAGTTTTTCCAACATAGGCTGTAGTGTAGATATAGTGATAGAAGGGGTGAGACTGGACACAGGGGATAGG